AACTTTATGCAATTACACAAGTACAAGGGAGACTCTCATTTAATCTTAGGTTGTAAGAAAAAGGAGGGTGAAACTGTACGAGAATACTTCACAAGGTTCATAAATGCCACGTTAGACATACCGGGGCATGATGAAGGGCTCATAGCTGGCGCCTTTACGTGGGGACTTTTACCAGGCCGTTTATCACAAAAAATCATAGGAAAGAAGCCCACAGGACAAATTGTAAGAAAGGGTGGAGCGATATCTGAGGCGGAAGGATGGCGAGGCAGAAAAATAGGCCTACTTGAATGCTATGACTTCCGGGCACCACAACCCTGGTCATATGGACTTCCGAGGGGGAAGTGGGCACTACGGCCAAGCAAGAAGACCACATGTGCGGTTCTGACCATTTGTCAAGGATCACAGACGCAGTCATCGCCCGGATGTGTACACGATGTCGGAGAAACAACAGCCATACAAATCGCCCAAGAATCGGTACTGTGAGTACCACAAAAGTAAGACACATGATACAACTAAATGTTAAGTATTAAAAAAAGAAAAGGAAGAGAAAAAACTCAAAGGGGACTTGGTGGAAATAGAGCGAAGCTTGCGTGCCAAATTTGACGCCGAAAATGCTAAAAACACACCTCGAGAGGGGGTCCAACCTAAGGAGATATTCATGATACGGAGCAAGAGAAGCAGGGGAAGAGCAACAAAGGGAGCACGGGACTATCATACCCTCAGTGCGTACACTCACATTCTTTATACAAGACCCCTGCCCGGAAGGATGGAGGGGCGATAACCCACTAGTAATCCAAGCCTCCATCAGGGATGTAACTATACACAGGGTCTACGTTGACACGGGAAGTTCGGAGGATATCATCTATGAGCACTGTTTCCGACTTCTCCCAGACCGATGGAAAGACAACCTATGGCCTACGATGGGGAGGCTGTTCGGATTCACCAGCCATAGCCTATGGCCGCTAGGCACAATTCACCTTCCTTTGACCATAACTAGCCACGATAGGCAGCGAAAGAAAACTGCCCTGATTGATTTTGTGGTCATTCGACATTCGGCGGAGCACAACATCATTCTGGGGAGAACAACTCTCTTAAAGATAGGGGCGGTCCCATCAACCATGCATGAGGTCATGAAGTTCGACACTCCAATGGGTGCAGTTACAATACTGGCCACTCCACCTAAAGAATTGCCATGCTTCACAGTCATGAAACCAGCAGAGATAACTAAAGAGGCCAAGAGACTGAGACATGATCCTACGAAAGGAAATGAAGTGATCAATGAGAGACACCCTGACCAGCCAGTCAGTATTGGACACGATCTCCCAAGTCACATAAAAAGAGCGATGGTTGATTTGCTCAATCGGTATAAGCATGTGTTTGCATGGATCCTACGGACATGGTGGGGGAAGAAAGGAAAATCATTAAGCACAAACTCGTAATTAAACCAAGAGCAAAGGAGGTTAAGCAGAAGAAAAGGATCAAAGGTGGGGACCATAATAGGGAAATCAACGCAGAGGTGGCCAAACTAGCAGAAGCTGGAATAGTAAGGGAAGGAATATTCCCAACATGGATCGCCAATCCAGTTATGGTCTGCAAACAAGATGGGTCATGGCGCATGTGCATAGACTTTCCTGACTTAAAAAAAGCATGCCCTAAACACTGTTACCCCCTCCCGGAAATTGACCAGAAGGTGGAGTCATTGCAAGGATTTAAGCTAAAGTGTTTTTTAGATGCATATAAAGGGTACCATCAGATCTTGATGAGCAAAGAAGACGAGGAAAAAACAGGTTTTTACATGGATCATGGCACTTTCTGTTACACCACGATGCCTTTCGGTCTAAAGAATGCAGGGGCTACGTATCAGAACCTGGTCAACTCAATCTTCGCCAAACAAATTGGGAGAAAAATTGAGGTGTACGTGTACGATATGGGGATCAAGAGTTCACATGAAGACAAAATGTTGCAAGAAATCGAGGAGAACTTTCAAACCCTAGAGAGGGTGAAGATGAAGCTGAACCCAGCCGAATGCACGTTTGGGGTGTAAGAAGGGCAGTTTTTGGGATATTATGTCACTGGGTAGGGTATCCAGCCCATCCCGACCAAGGTGGATGAGTTTATCGAAACGCCAGCCCCAGGCACCCTCATAGACGCGCTGGGCCTAAATGGGTAGCATACAGCTCTGAGCAGGTTCATCTCGAAATCAGCTGACAAGGCCATGCGGTTGTTCCACACGCTGAAAGGCTGCATCGAGAAGAGCAACTTGCAGTGTACGAACGAAGCAGAAGTAGCGCTCCCGAAAATCAAGGAAGCACTACACAAGTTACCCATACTGGCAAGTCCTGTCCCGGGAGAGACGTTGCAAATGTATCTTTCGACCTCAAACATAGCGATATCCTCAATTTATTGTAGAAAGGGTAGGAGAACAGAGACCGGTGTACTTTGTAAGCAGGGTACTACAAGGGCCAGAACTCGACTACCCCACCCTGGAAAAGTTAGTCCTGGAACTCATCTACGAGGCACGACGATTGAGGCGATATTTTCAAGCACGTCAAATCAAGGTACTAACAAACTATCCCATCAAATAAATACTGCTTATGACAGAGACATCGGGCCGGTTGGCGAAATGGGCAATTGAATTGGGAGAACATGACATAATTTACCGCCTAAGGACAAGTATTAAGGGATAAGCGTTGCCCGATTTCCTGCTAGAAATTCCAGATGAGGGGGGCTCGGTTAAGGAAAAAGTGTGGGCAGTTGAAGAAGCCCCAGCTGAAAGTAATTCGTGGACACTATATACGGATGGAGCATCAAGTAGGGAAGGCTCAGGGGTGGGGCTAATCCTGACCAGAGCAAAAGGGGAAGAAGTAACTTACTCCCTCCGTTTTGATTTTCACACATCAAACAACGAAGCAGAGTACGAAGCTCTGGTTACATGATTGTGCCTAGCCAAGCAAATGGGTGCGAAGGCTGTAACGGACCTGACCGACTCAAGGATAGCAGCGAACCAGGTCAATGGAAGTTTCGAGGTGAGAGATCAGAGAATGGGAAGGTATGTGAAAATGGTGAAACAACTGCTTGAATCGTTCAGCCAGTTCACAATCAAGTAGACACCTAGAAGTGAAAATAAGACGGCGGATACCTTAAGCAAATTGGCATCTACATGCTTCGACCACCTATCGAAGAAAGTCTTGGTAGAGGTACTCCGAGAAAGAAGTATAGACGAGTAGCAGGTGAATGCCCTAACGACCACCGGGCCCATGTGGATGACACCATTCAGGGAATACCTACAAATGGGGGTGTTACCGAACGATCACAGTGAGGCCAGGAAGATACGTATAAAAGCGCCCTCATACGTATTGATAAATGGAGAATTATACAGGAAAGGGTTCACATCACCATGGATGAAGTTTGTAAACCAAGCCAAAGGGAGAGAGATGCTACAGGCAGCACACGCAGGCCAGGTGGGTGCACACGAGGGAGCACGGGCCTTAACAGGCAAAGTATTGTGAATGGGTGTATACTGGCCCACAATACAACAAGATGCGTTAAAGGTGGCCAGGAAACGTGGGGAATGCCAGTCTTACGCCCCAGTCCAAGAAAACCCCCCGGTACCATTGTATAACATATCTAGCCCATGGCCGTTTTAGCAATGGGGCATAGTCATAGTGGGCCCATTCTCGGAAGCACCAGGGAGGCTGAAATACATGGTGGTGGCTATAGATTATTTCAAAAAATGGATCGAAGCGGAGCCTTTAGCATGCATATCAGGGAGAGATATGATAAAGTTTGTATGGAAGAATATTATGACAAGGTTTGCGATGCCTAAAGTACTCATCAGTGACAATAGCCTACAATTTGCTGAGAACTCGTTCAGGGAGTGGTGCGCCACCAAAGGGATAGATCAACGGCTCACATTAGTAGCACACCCTCAAGAAAAAGGATAGACGGAGGTGTCCAACCGAACTATCGTGAATGGGATCAAAAAGAGGCTGGCCAAGGCAAAATGGAACTGGACGGAAGAGATACTGACAGTACTATGGTCATACAGGACGACACCACGAACGCGAACGCAAGAGACCCTGTTCAGCTTGACATATAGGACGGAGGTTATGCTCCCTATGGAGATAACGGTGGGTACACTAAGGGTGGCTAGCACGGATGAAGATAGCACTGCACAGGACCTGAGGATAAACCTGGACATCCTAGAAGAAAAGGGAAAAAAATCAGAAATGCGCCAAGCTGCATACAAGCATGAAACAGAAAGGTACTATAACCAAAGAGTAAAAGAGAAAGCATTCAGATTAGGGGAGTATGTTCTAAGGAAACACCAAGCAAGCCGAGCCCAACCGCAAGGCAAATTGGGTCCAACATGGGAAGGCCTTTACAGATTCACAGAAGCGAATCAGAATAGTGCATATGTTTTGGAAACGATGGAAGGAAGGCAGATTCCAAGAACGTGGAATGCCAGAAACTTGAAGAAGTATTTCTTTTGAAAATAAAGAGATATAACCCCAGTCGATCGATGTGCTTCTTAGTGTAGCACATCCCGAGTACTTAGTGTACATAAGTCCATGCTTAATGACATGAGTCTCATACTTACTGTATTTAAAGTCCGCGGTCCATGTAATGAGATGATCCAAATGCTAATCTTTAATACTTAGTGTATTAATTCTTAACGATTGAAACTTTGCATGTAAAGGTCGATTGTTGGGTTCTAAGAGCACCTAGTACTGATACTTAGTATGTCAACAATAACATGGGCGAAGAAAAACGCCTAGCGCATTAGAGCGCCTTTTTTTTTTTTTTTGGTTTTTTTTAAAGAGAGCAAAAACAAAACAACAAACAAAGCAAGCAACAAACAAGTAATGCTTAGAGCACATGGATACATACCTAAGATAGTAAATATTGTTTAAAAGTTCATGCATTATACAAACCAAATGCATCATATGGCCACCAAAAGGAATATGAAAGACAAAAATCAAAACAAGCAAAGAAAATTTTCAAGCCCTAGGAGGGGTAGCACACGATGCCGGAGCATCCTCAACAACATCATTCCCATCACCTGCAACTTCACTTCCCACAACAACCACTTCACACTCGTTACCATCACCAACATTCGATCCAACGCTATGATCACCATCATCCTCACCACCCTCATTACCTCCTCCAGCATCAACCTCAAATACCGGCACAACTTCATGACCCACCGCACTCTTCGGGGTACCCTATAAGACACCAAAAGAACATAACTCCCGGTGACCCCTAATACCCAGTTCCCCTAAACCCAACAAGGACGCATGATCTATACTAGCAAAAGACAACAAAGCATCATTCACACTAAGCAAACGACCAACAGAAGTAGCACCAACACCAACATCCCTACCACCAGCACCAACATAAGTTTTTTGAACAGACTCAACCTCGGCCACAAATGCAGCATGCTGGATGAGACTTATTGCATTAGTAAAGTCTGGATGCTCAATCAATTTATCAACAATGCGAACAACACCAATGTGCACCAGCCAATCCAAGTCTCAACGAGAAGCGTATTCCATGTTATGAGCAAGAGCAGGATTACTCATAGCCTCCATATCGCCAACTGTAGCTGGAGGAAAAGCATGGCTGTAACACCGTAAAATTTAAAACAAAATTTCTCATTTTTAATCACATTTTTTCAAACACATTTATTAACAAAATCCCATTGTATCATAACTTTGTTTCACAAAATATTTCCCAAGATCAAAATACATCAAAACCCATGTGTGTGTACGAATCATGCCGACGCCTTCCCGCGATTATCACTGGTACCTGAAACACATAACACATAACACTGTAAGCATAAAGCTAGTGAGTTCCCCAAAATACCATACATAGCACATACTAGCCACTCGAGGCTATAACTCTGTGGGCTCGTGGGCCCTAACTCTGTGGACCATCTGGTCCTACCTCTGTGAACCTTCTAGTTCTAACTCTGATTTACTCTAATATACACACTGCATAAATCACATAGAGATAATGCAGTTCAACACATCACATAATAGCATACAGTAACTCTGTCACATGACTCTAATTACCACTCAAGGTAAAGTATAGTGAGAAGACTCACCTCAGATGTCTTGGTAAATCTCTAACTCGGTAGAAATACGATCTAGCCTCCACCTAATCACATAAAGTAATACCCTAATAAATACAACTCTCAGGACTAGACTCAACACTCTCTAGGCACCCTCAGAAGGGTAAAAGAACATTTTACCCCTCCTTTGGCTCAAAGGCCCTCATTGTTAACCAAAACCTAAAAGTCAACCAAAGTCAATGGTCAAACTTTTACCCGCCTCGTCGAGTGCACTTGGGCAACTCGACGAGTCCACACGTGTCCGCTAACTCCCTAGTCTCGCTTGGCATGTCTAGTCCTTCCCCTTTCTCGACGAGTCACACCTAGCATGAATCGCAAGGCTACCCCGACTCAACTCGCCAAGTCTCAAGATCAACTCGGCGAGTTCCATCTTGAACTCCAGTCCTCTAATCCCTCTCTGACTCACTGAGTTATTCCCCTAACTTGGTGAGTCTACTCGCTGGGTGATTTATGGGAAACCCTAACCCTACTCACCGAGTCTGATCTTTGGACTCGGCGAGTTCATGCCGTGCAGAAACTCCATTAACCTCCTGAGGTCAGATTTGTTCCTTAAACCCATAGATCTGACCTTCCTAAGCATGATAATCATGTAAAATTCAGACCTTGACACTCATATAACCTTTAGATGGTCCTACTTGGTGATTTAGCCCCAAAAATAAACTCCTAAGTTCATGGCTCCCAAAATAACCCATAAAGCTCCAAGGGTTAAGGTCTCTGGACCTCTTTGATTCCAGATCCAAAGCGTAAACTCGAGAAGGGACCAATTGCTCCACATATCCATTCTCTAAAGGGGTTAGAAAACCCTAACTCTAAGAATCAACACCAAAAATGAAGAAGGTCTGAATAAATACCTCAAGATGAAGTCTCTGAACTCTGAAATCACCAGATCCACTCCTCCTTCAGCCTCCTCTTGCCTTGGTCACCTCCTTTTTGCAATCACACCAACAAAATGATCAAAAGTGGCCTCTTGTTCCTCTCAAACGCTCTAGATCTCTTAGGGTCTCTCTCTGGGGTTTGGTAGCCGCAGATGACGGCCCTAAGGGCCTTTAAATAGGTGCCAAACACGGGAAATTAGGGTTTCATTAAACAGCGTGGACTCGCTGAGTCCACTCATGGACTCGTTGAGTCCGGTCATGAACTCGGATGAGAATCCGCGACCCTACTCGGCGAGTCTAAGGACCAACTCGCCGAGCCCTCTGCAAACTCCAAAATAAATGAATAAAATAATATACCTGGGAATTCGGATGTTACAGTGGTGGGAAAATTCCAAGGCATTGGCACGAACAGAGAGTTGGGAATCATTGTGGAGATCCCAGGAAGGAACAAAAACAGAAGACCTAGTAGAACTGTCTCCAGAAACACCACATAAAGAAACTGAAACTTGACCAAGGCCGCTAGAACCTTTAACCAGGGAGAAATTTGGGGGAACAAATGGAACACCTGGAACAGGAATAAAGGAGAAGGTTGAGGCAACGGGTTGTTCACTCGCCCTGTCGATCCCTTCAGACTATTGCACGTCGTCATCAGGGATGACAACCACACCGGTCGATGTGGAAGTCATAGAACTCAGCAGACGAGAGAACCTGCACCTGGTCTGAATTCTCTTGGTAGCAATAGGCGTGCCGGTAACCGGCTCACAAGGGCGAGTGCTACACAGGGGCATGCCAATAGAGATGGGGCGAGTGTGTAAAGGATTCTCCTCCGACGCTGACGAGCCTGTAGGGGAGATGGAAGGGGCAGCAGTTAAGGCAAGCTGATTCATCCGATGAGGTGGAGGAAGCCGATCAACTAGATCCACCTCGCGATACTCTAACTTGCCCTGATAACGCTTCCGCAACACCTCGTCTATGGACAGGGAAGATTCAGCACCTAAGGATGTCAGAACTAGGAATATCAACCATATATTAGTAATAAAGGGAAGAAGGAAAAAAGAGGGGTGCAACACTCACCGTCAACGATGGAGAAAAACACCGCCATTTTACCACGACGCCTCCAAGAAGGGCTCATCTTCACACTAGAATGCAGAGCCTTAGAGTAATCTCCAGGGGATACTTTCACACTTTTTAGGTAATCAGTGACACCTTGGTTGTGAGGGAAGAGTTTGGGGATGGTATCGGAAAAAGCATGCGCACGGTACTGACCGCTTCCGACCAACTCTAGGTTCACCCACTACCACTTATCCTGCCAGTTTTTAGGGGTTTGTCCGTCGAGAACCAGGGCGTGCCCCCCTCGCTAGACCGAAAAGGTGAACATGCCTCTAGTGACGCAGAATCAGAAGAAACAATTGAATACGAAGTCGTCCGAAAGATACCCGTTGGCTCTGCAGATCATTTCGAACGCAACCACTTTGTTGACTGCATTGGGAGTCAGCATTTGAAGACTGCAACCGTCTTTCTGGAAGACCTCTAATTGAAAATTGCCATTAAAGAAAGAACAACAGGTAAAGAAAAACCAACACGCGTAAGCTAGCTAAGTCCAGAACGCCGTAACTAGCATTACAACGCTACGACTACTGGACTGGGGGACTTGATGACATTCCTAGGGCAGCACGACATAATCGCGTCTAGACCAGGAGCTGTGCACGCCAACTAGGCTCAGCCCAGCAGGCTTAGCACCCGATGGCGCTCCCGGGAGCAGAATGCACAGGCAGAAGGCTCGCGGATGCCAAGGGACGCTCCCAGCTCCAAGATAAAAGATATGGTCAGGGGAAAAATAGAAGAATCATGCCATTACCCTCAGAGCCATGAGAGCGCCCTAACGGTTGAAGGCGCATGACCCTCCAATCAGTGCCCCTGATCTTGTCTCCCTAAAAAAGTGATCTTGACTGGTATGGATCAGTCAAGGGTGCTAGGTATAAAAAGATATGCTCTCAGACCTACGAGGTAAGATCTCTTCACTCTCTAAAGAGAAGATACCCAAAAACCCTAAATACCCTCCAACTTGACCGTCGGAGCGTTCTTTCGGGAGCTCCTCCTGGAAAGCAGCTGACGACTTTCCTTCTTTGTAATCTTGCAGAGGCAGCCGAGAATCCAAGTGAACACTATCAACCGAGCCAATTCAAGGCCACATCACTTAGTATGTTACTGGAATAAGAAAATAGTTGTATGTACTCTATGTATTTTCTTAGAATTTATTCTATGCATTCTTCCAGAATGTATTTTATATATTCTATCATATTTTATGTATTCTTCCAGAATATATTAAGTAACATGGATTGCAAGTAACATGCTTTTAACCATTCTTTTTGTTTTATTTGTGATAGGAATGGTTGGAAGAATGGGTTGAAGAATTACATTCTTATGATAATACATCACACTTTCGTAAAAATAGTTGGAATCAAGTCGACTCTTTGGACCATTCAAGAAGATTAAGTGCATTTGTTCAATAACTGTTTGACAAGATGAATGGTGTTGCATTAGTTGCTATCACTGCATTGAAGACCTAATAGGAATAACTTGAAGAATGAATAATGTTTGATCATATTCACAATTTTAGAATGTTGATAAATTTTAAGAATTTAATTCATTTTTGTTGATATTCTTTTAGAATATGTATAATTATATTAAAATGTATAAGACTTTTAATCTGTAAGAATATGTATGACTTTGTATTTATGTTCGGATGTATAAGAATATATTAGAATGTTGTTATTTTTCAACTTCGGATTCAAGAATGTTGTTATTTTTCAATAATATCCTAATAGAATAAAATTCTGAAAGAACATCATTAAAAAAAAATTCTGACAAAATAAAATCAGTTATGTATACAAATTACGTTAGAATTAAAATTGAATTAAATTAAAAAATTCAGATTTTTAAAATTAGGAGAATTAATCATCCCTAAAAATCCAAAAATTTCCTCTTATAAATGGAGTTAATTGTCCAAAATACCGTTTTGCTAAAATTTGTGTGATTACGTGGTACATGTTATCCCATTATATTATTATACACCCTCAAATCATGTCCATTGATTAAATCCATCTATTGGTCCAGATTTGTGCAATGTGGCACACAATAGTTAGTAAAAACAAAATAACCTAAGCCTATATATATATATATATATATATATATATATATATATATATATATGTTAATTGGAGGTAACTAGAGTTTAAAAATTATTGGTAGGTGAAATGGAGTAATGAAAAATGATGTGACACTTACGTCAGAGTAAAAGAGTGAGGGGGTGAGGGAGAAGAGTTAGGGGCTTGTTGAGTTTAATTGTGTTGCGTCATGGGCTTGTATTTTGTATCCGGATTGTGCCTGTCCATCCGTGATTATCTAGTAAGATTATACTATAAAATATGCATGCATATATGCATTAGAACCAATAGAGTTAACCCTAAATACCTCAACAGTCGAAGTTCTTAATCGAGCTCTTCTGAGGTGTTGAAGCATTAATAATATGACACATTCAAATCCATTCTCGTGTTCATAATTACATTCTTAATTGTTTGTCTACGTAGAATCTAACGATCCTGATTGAACTTTGATTCATCAATTGGTATTAGAGTAGGAGACTGTGTGATCAATATACATTCCTTCTGTATCAGAATACTTTAGGGTTTCCGCTTTTATCGTATAAATAGAACTGGTCTTCTTCATATCGATGGTACCTCTGTTTTTGATAAAACCCTAATCTCAAGTTTAGAGGTTTGATTCTAGCAACTCACCATGTCTCACGAAGATTCGAAAACAAATCCCATTAACATCTCAAACAACATTGGATCCACTACCATAATTCCCATTCTTTACACTCATGACTATGAAGTATGGGCGCATCACTTTGAAGATTACGTGGTTGGATCTGAAGAAAATGGCTATCTCATCTGGGAAGCTATCATGCTTGGGACGTTTGTTCACTCAGGAATGAACATAACAGTTAAGTCCCAAAAGGAATATAAGAAGCTGGTAGTGAATGTTGAGAAGATGCCACATGACGAGAAAGACAAGTTGCTGTGTAATGTGAAGGTAATGAGAATGATCAGATTTGCCTTGCAGTCTGACACTTTTTGGTTGGTTGGTTCATGCACGACGGCCAAAGAAATATGGGATAGGTTGAAAGAACTTTATTCAACCGATGAAGATCTGGAACACTCCATTCAAACCTTGTTGCTATCAGAATTTGGAGTTTTCGAACAGAAACCAGAAGAAAAACTCATACAAACTTTCGATCGGTTCAATCATCTCCTAAGTAAGATGATCAAGCATGGAATATAAAGGAAGTTGATCGAGCAGAAGGTGACCTTCATGAACGGTCTCAGACCAGAATGGATGGCTGTGGTCTCAACCATGAAAGCGCATGAACAATTTAAATCTTACTCACTAGTGAAACTTGTGGGAATACTTAAGTCCCATGAAAGTGTAGTGACCAAAGAAGCAAAGGTAGTTTCAGGTGTGGGATCGCTGGCCCTTGTCTCAAAAGGAAAAAGCATTGCAGAAGAAGAAGAAGAGTCTGATATGTCTGAATGTGACCTTACAAGAGAGGAGTACGCTTTGATGGTTACAAATCCAAAGAAGTTTGCAAGAAGAAAATGTCCTGTCAACAAGAATCGAAACTGGCAGGGAGGTTACAGCTCTGAGAAGGTGAAGGATGAAGCGAAAAATTCTTCTCAAAAGGATGAAGACAAGAAGGAGAGCAAGCTTGCGGGAGACTCTAGGTTTGACTGTAATTACTGTCACGACAAGAATCACTTTGCCAAAGATTGCATGCTAAGGAAAATGTATGAGAAAAGAGACATTGAAGATGATGATGCGTACTATATGCGCAAGTTCGAAGAGATTAAGAAAAAGAAAGTGACTAACGGTTCTATGAATACCTTGATTGTGCAGGAGAATGCAGATGAAGATGAGTTCGGTGGCATTGAAGTTTGGTCAACCAAATTTGAAGATGAAGAGGTGAGAAAGCCCACTCATGGAAGGGCTTATGTGGCAAAGGAAGTAGGTGCGGCTGGAAGGTGTTTAATGGTCACAGCTGGTTCATCAACCGAAAGAGAAAGTGAGGAACCGAACCTGACTGACGACAAGTGTTTTGCAACCTAGCCTATGAGTGAGAAGATCAATGACTGCGATCGCCTGATCAAAAAGGTACAATCCATCCTTGAATCACTTAAAGTTCCAGTAACAAATTATGAAGAAGAATTAAAAGAATTAAAATTCAAATTTTCTAACTTAATTGGTAGTCTCATAAAAACTCGCTTAGCGAATTCTAACCTAACTGACCAACTCAGCAAGGAGTCTTCAAAAAGTAAGGAGAGAAGGATGTGGATTGAGCTGAAGGAGGCGGAATTAAATAAAGCTAGGGATGAAAGTATTTATTTGCAAAGAGGCAATTTAAAGTTTTTAAAACAAAGGAATGTTTTTTGTTTAATTACTAAGCACTTATATACCCATATTGCTCAATTGCATTTAAGTTGTGAGATAGGGAAGAAGATTCATAAGATGATCTTACCCTTCCTTGAATTTAAGGAGGACGAGTTCATTGCTGAGTGTGAATCAATAGTATCATCAGTGTCTTAAAAAATTAGACTGGACAAGACGAGACCTTCATCGATTCTAAGGAACATAAATGTATGCTCAAAAATCATTTGGATGAAAATGATAGGTAAAAAATTATGTCTGAAACTATTTGATCTTTTGACACAACAAATGCCAAATTAATTTTAGAAAATAAAATGAACTTAGATAATACATCTGAATTTGATGAGGAAAGTGAGATGAGCGAAATCTCAGTGGAAGATGTATTCGATTGCTCTGAGTTTATGAAGAGTGAAACCGAAATGAGAAACCTCTCATATCTGAAAATTCAGTTGAATTCGCTCGCCTGTCAAAAGAAAATCCACAGAAACTCAAAGAAAAAGCTATGGTCTATCAAAAGGTTCAAACAGTTGGCGTGCCTCCTCGGCTGTCAGCTGAAATGCTCAGCTCCGAACCACTAGAGCCTCCAACTTGACCTTTCGGCCATCAACAACCTATCCTGTTGCTGTAGTCGGTGCCATTGCCAGAGCC